ACTAGTTGACTGAAGAGTCTGTAAGAATTCTCCTGTCTCTGCCTCCCATTTCTCAGTATGGGTGTGTTTGGATTGCAGATACCTGCCCTACTGCATCCAGCTTGCATGTCGGTTCTGGGGGTCCCAACTCAATTCATCAGGCTTATGTAATATTGAGATGAGGCTATTCCCTACTCTAAGTTACTCCATGTGGTATACAACAGTGGTTTATCAGTCTGTGTGATGCCCCAAGAGACTCCATTTTCAAGCAGACTTCTACTCTGTTTTGAGAAAGAATGACTGCAACCCCTGTTAGACCCACAAGCCATACATCTGCCAGGTACCCTCCCATCCAACACTGACTGATAGATGACTGGAAGTAAAGGGAAACCACCCTCTGCATTTATTGGAGTGAACTGAGAGACATATGAGTATATTGAAATCCTATCAGGGAAACCAGACCTAAGAATTTATTTGACACACCAGAGCAAAAAATAAAAAGTTATACCAGAGTATGACACCATTGAATGGATACCTTAAAGTGGCAGATCCCTAACATTTTGATTGTATGTTGTCACACCAACCTATCACCTAATGACTAGTATGTACACGGAGGATCAACAAGCAGAAAACTCCCCAACTGTCCCTGGAGCTTCAGCTCCACTAGGGACCCCTCTGTTGACTCAGCCTAATCAGCTGCCTGCCCATCCACTCATTTGAGCCTAGACCTGAAACAGCACATGCTGGTTTTTGTCAAGAGTCACTTAGGTAGAAGGAACCTTCACTGAGAATATGATGCCACCAACAGATTGCCTGCAGGCAGATTAGTGATCAATGAAGGGGTCCCTGCCACTGTGGGGGAGGGTACACTGAAGCAGGTGGTCTTCCGTGGTAAAAGAAACCAAGTTGAGTAAGCCATAGGGAGCACGGAGTGAGCATTGTTCCTTCTCTGTGGCCTCTGCTGCAGCTCTGCCTCCAGGTTCCTGCTCTGACTTCTCTTCATGATGAACTGGAAGCTACGAGATGAAATAAACACTTTTCTCTCCAAGTTGCTTTTGGTCATGGCCTTTATCGCAGCAATAGAAACCAAAGTTCAAACTAGGATACTGCAGTTTCCTGCTCTCAGACCCAGGTTCAGGTTCTTACCACACAGCTGAACTCTGCAGCCTTGCTCTCAGACCCTGACTTGAGCCACCTCCCAGCACTGATCTGGCTTGCAGCTTATCAATAGATTCCCACAGCCTACTTCTGAAAGTTTTCGTACACTCCTGCAGCCTCTTTAACTTGTATTAATTCTGTAAACTACATATATGCATACATATATACTTACTATGTGTGATGTGTGAGATGAGAGGTAATTAAGATTGGAATAAAAGAACCTACGTTGACCTCAGCCAGGTTATCAGGATAACCTTTAAAGCTGCTGTCAGAAACCTCTGGGTCTTGAGAATGTATTGCTCTTCAAAAAAACAGTAATACTGTAGAAAGACACAAACATGTTCCTCTGTGTCTCTAACTAGTATGCTCACAACATACAGCAAGTGTTTTTACCCAAGCAGCCCTCGGGTTAAATATTAAAAGAATTAGCTTTTTAAAAGAAGGATGGTGGCACATGCCTTCAAATCCAGCACTTAGGAGGCTGACCTGGGACAATTGAGAATTTGAGACTGACCTAGACTATACAGCAAGTTCAAGATCAGCCATGGGATCCACATTATGAGACCCTGGTGTTCACATACATGCATGTGCACAAACATGTGATAGTAGATAGATAGATGGATGGATGGATAGATAGATAGATAGATAGATAGATAGATAGATAGAGATAAGTTTTTTCATTGAGTTCTGATGTGGTCCTTTTCAAAGAGGGCAGGGAGTAAAAACAGAATGAAGGAAAGGGCCTGGGAAGTTGAGAGTGCCCCCAAATCAAACCTTTAAATTTAATACCCATCAGAACAGCATTCTGGAATGATTGTCACCCGACTTTAGATTTTGACACTTCATCCATGTGTTCAGTTCTCCCACACTCTATTATACAAGAGGCCAGAGTGACTAAAGGGGAAAGCAATCTCCCCAGGATCAGCATCTGATGCACAGAAATAGGCCTGCCTCCCCGCTGAAACTATTCCCCAGGGTCCTATTGTTCTAGTCTCTCCCTTCTTAACGTTGGAAAATCTAATTCCAAACAAATGTGAACAAAACACTAATAAGTTATGCAGCTGAAGATGTTTAGGGCTAAGCCCCTTAAGCTTTTTTTGGAGTAATATTTGATCTCTTGACATAAATCTATTGCTATTGTGGGTTATATACATATGCAAAGCTCCCTCAAAATAAGTCAAAACTAGACTGATTACATTCCTGATAGACTAGGTGTGACTTGTCAGGAACTCTGAGGCTTTGATGAAATCTATCCAATGTAGTGTGGAATAGTGATCAGTAAAGGCAAGAAAGGAGAAATGGGGGCTGGGAGATGGCTCCATGGGTAAAAGAGCTTATTACATAAGCATTGAAAACCTGAGTTCTAATCTTCTATACCTGTGTAAGAAGCTAAACAGGGTCATGCAAATTCATAATTCACAGTGTTGGGAGGGGGCACAGATAGAAGAAGGTCATTCAGGCTTGCTAGCTGCCAGTCTAGGTCCAAGTTCAATGAGAGAGGCTGCCGCAAGTGAATAATGAGAGGACACAGTAAGACATTCAAACATATATACATACATACACACAAGCACACACTCATGCTCACAAAGGAAAACAGGGCTAGAGAGAGCTCAGGTGGTAAAGTGTTTATGAACTCAGGATGACATGAGCATGCTCCCCCAGAACCCACATAAAAAAGCTAGGCATGGTGGCACACCTCTCTAATCCCAGCAAGGCAGAGCCAGAGATGGCAAGGACCCCTGGGGCTGGATGGCCAGCCAACCTAGCCTGCTGGGTGAGCTCCAGATCAACAAAAGACTCTTGTGGGAAAATAAAAGCGGAGTAGATGGCGCCCTGCAGTGACTTAAATGAGAATGATTCCCCACAGGTTCATGTGTTTGAACACTTGATTCCCAGCTGGTGGAAATGTTTAAAAGGGATTAAGAGGTGTGGCTTTGTTGGAGGAAGTGTATCACTAGGGGCAGGCTCTGCTGAAGGAAGTGTATCACTAGGAGCAGGCTTTGAGGTTTCAAAAGACTGGCACTATTTCCAGTTGTCTCAGTCTCCTGCTTTTGGATCATGATAACTACCAGCTGTTCTTCCCACCACGCCTTTCCCTCACCATCATGGGCTCGGACACCCAGGAACTATAAATTTAATCAAATGCTTTCTTTTGTAAGTTGCCTCAGTCATGGTGTTTTGTCACAGTAATAGAAAACTAATACTGGGTCTGAGGAACAAAACCAGAAGTCTCCTGCCTCTATGTATCTGCATATACATATGCAAAGGTGCCAGCACACACATGCATCTGCACACACAAACAGGGAGGAGGGGAAGAGGAGAAAACAAAGCAGGCTCTTGGTACAGTGCTGTAACAAAACACAGGACAAGGAGACCCTAGACTGCTGTCAGTGGAGGAGAAAACATGAATGACTTCTTTTGTCTGGACAGCTTTGCCCATCACAGGAACAGCATCTCTGAGAAAACGAGAGCAAGGTTCTGGAGCCAGGAATCCCGGGGCTGAAGATGATGATGTTTATTGGAACAAGGCAGCTACCCCAGACTAAGCCACCAGAAAAAACGAGTCACGCCTCTCAAACCCTCCACACATGGACAGAAAGAATGGAGCCACCAAATACAGCTGGATGATTCTTTAAACCATAAATAGGACCACCACTTGATTTGCTATCCAAATCTGACCTGTCTCCGGAAAGTGCTCACTTAACTTCAAATCTACTTTGGATAGAGAGTGATAGGCCAGCAGCCCACAGGCCTGGTCTGACTTACTCTCTCGTCTCATCAATGCCATCATGGCACTGTCATTGTTTGGGGGAAGTGACAACCGCTAGATTTCCCTCTAACTTGCATTTGGCTCAGATCGGAAGATGTCTTTATATTTCCACATTCAAAGTAATCTTAACTTTTACTACAGCCACTTGCTCTACCTTGTAAAGTTTTAAAGGGAGTATAACTTTAAAATTCATGGAATGGAGGATGGAGAGTAGAGTGGGCTCAGCAGCTAAGAGCCCTTCTTGCTCTTCCAGAGGACCTGGGTTTGAGCGCTAGGACCCACATGGCAGCTCACAACCATCCTTAACTCCAGTTCCTGGGGAATCAACACCTGCTTCTAACTCCCCCAGTCATCAGGCATGCACATGGTGTACATGCATGCAGGGGGAAAAATCCACACACACAAAATAAATCTAAAAGAAAAATGTAAGCATGGAATGCTAGCTCTGGGAGTTCTCTTCTTTCCTTTGCTTCCAAGACTATTCCTTAGAGCAGTGGTTCTCAAACTTCCTAATGCTGTGACTCTTTAATACAGGTCCTCATGTTGTGGTGACCCCCAACCATAAAGTTATTCCATTGCTCCTCCATGACTGTAATTTTGCTGCATTTATAAGTCATAATGTAAATTTCTAATATACAGGATATCTGATATGCAACCCCAAAGGAGTCATGACCCACAAGTTGACAACCACTGCCTTATAGCAGTGGTTGTATCAGTAACAACCACTGTCAGTCACAAGAATAGCCACAATGGCTTGCAGGCATTGAACACTTACTCAAGCACTATGCCAAGAGACTTACAAATTTAAACCAAATGAATGCAATATGGATGTGACTTTTGTCTTCCTTTTTGCAAAAGGGGAACCTGACACAGACATATGTATCTTCCTCCCATCTTGTTCCTTCTTTGTGAAGAACTCCTTTTCAAACACTAAACCTGGGGCATCCAAAACCTATGGGCATCATTCTCAGCTGAGAGGAAGGTGGGAGGATAAATAATTTAGAAGAGGATTCTCAAACCCTTTGATCATGAGGCGCCTAGAAGGTATGATTACACGCTTGCTTTGCTTAGGCACAGGATCTACCGCTCTTACCCTGTTGTCTTCCTGGATCTCCCAGTCACTTGAGGTCATCAGCTGCTGCCCTTGGGAACAGTTAGCAAACTGAAAGAGGCTGGAAAACATCCTTCTGTTTTCTTGTGTGTCTGGAAAGATGGCATCTTGGAAATTGACTCCATGGGGCAAGAGGTTGTAATTTTCATCCATCCTGAGGGGGAGGGGTCAAAGCAGAGATATAGGAGAGGTTACTGGAGGTGGGCCAACTTCAGGCCAGATTACAAAGGCCAGAGATAATCTTGCTAATTTCATCACGAAGTCTGCAATGGTTCCCAGGAAGAGATCCCTACAGTTAGCAAGTCTAACTGTTTTCCACTGTGTAATACTTGAGTCTAACCTTAAGGTTTTCTTAAGAATAGAATCTAGAAAGGTGGAAGGAAGATGTGTGCTTGTATGCCTGTCTGACTATTTCCCAAGTCCCCCAGGACCTTCCATCTCATAGTGTTCCTTACTCCTTGGTGAGAAGGAAGCCAGTTGTAATGTGACCTAGATTCAAGCCTCACTGCTACATACAGGTCTCAAAATTTCTTCTTTAAGCACCATCATCTTCCAGTCTTCTCTAAGAGGATTACAGTAGAACCTACTTCCTTGATGTTATCATGGAGATGCATTGGAAAAAATGTAAACACAGCTGGAGATGTGGCTCAGTGCTAAGTCCTGGTAAAGTGTGAGGACCTCAATTTGAATTCCTAGCACCCACATAAAAAGCCAGTCATGGCTGTGCATGCTGGTAACACCAGCACTGGAGGGCAGGGACAGACTGATCCTGAGAGCCTTCTAGCCCAGGCTAGCCCAAACTTCGAGCTTCCAGGGCAATGAGAGACCCTGTATCAAGACAATAAAGTGGAGGGCGATAGAGGACAGCATCTCCTGTAGGGAGCCGTCCCTGCATTCTCCATTACAAGATGGCGCCTGCATCCGGCAGGCACCGAATGGTAAACAAGCTAGTGCGCAGGCGCTGGGTAACTTTCCATCCCTTGGGCTCTGCCTCTCCCGTGGCATCATATGGGCCGATGGGCTGCCAATCAGGAGGTGACACGTCCGAGGCGAAGGTTGTAAACCTATATAAGGGTTGGGTTTTGGATGTTTGGCGTCTCCACTCTGTAAGCTTATGCTCTCCCTCTCAAGATCATTAAAGCTTTACTGCAGAAGGATCCTGAGTGTGCCGCGTAGTTCTTGCTGGCGAGACGGTAGCACGGGACAATCTCCCTCTGGCCTCTGCATGTGCACACACTCCTGTGCATGCACCACATACATACACATACATGCTCATCCAACACATACAAATACAATGAAGCACTTGGCACATCGTGAATGCAAGTATATAAATATTAGTGAACATGTTTATATGTGTTGGTGTGAAGTGATTTTTAGAAACAGAAGTCAGAAAAAAAAGAAAACGAGGTGAGAATTTTAACCTAAGTTTTCCAGTTTGAGTTTGAAATGCTCCCCCTCCTCTCAGTTTCATGGGCTCAACCTTGGTACCCAACTAGGGAGGGAGGCTGTCAAAGTTGCAGAAGGAAATAAGTCACCAGGAGTATGTCTTTGTGTCTATATACTGCCATGGCCCTTCCTGTATTCCTTCTCTGCTTCCTGTTTGCCATGAGGTGAACAGACTGTGCTCTGTGCACCACCGTATAACCATCTGCCCAAGCGTCCAGAGCCACATGGCGATGGAATGAGCCCTCTGAAATGAACCAAAATAAACCCTCCCCTACTTTCCATTTATCAGTCACAGTGAGTGAGCAAGAGATGGGGAGAAGAGGCCAGAACAACAGAGGGGGAACGCTTTGTGTGCCATTATTAGCAAGGCAAGACAGCCCTATGAAGACAGTCTGTCACAGTATCATGTTTCTGTTGGTCTGTCTTAACTTTCTTTAATTATGTCATCGCAAAAGATGAAAACATTTGGCTGACCATTGCATAGTCACTGGACCATTTTGTGATTAAAAAGGAAAAAGTCCAACACTGCTCAGGTCCTGAGCTTTCATCCAGTGGGAAATAAAAACCCTGTCAAGTTGTTTCCTAGCTGGGTTCTCGGTGTTTTCCCTAAATAAAAACATGAAAAGGCTGAGTTAGATTCTCTGGATCAAGAAAGGAACTGGCACAGTCCTGGCTGACTTTATTTAGACACTATACTTTCCAGACAATTAAAAAGAAAAAAAAAAATCAACCTAATCTGGCTAAGCCACTCAAGCCAACACAAAGCAGAACATGCATTCTAAACTTAGCCTGTCTTCAATATGGGAAGCACATGTGTCCCTGAGCTGCAGGATGCCCCCCGGAGGAACTTAACTGTTTTCTTTCTCAGCGATTCCAAAACCAATCTGCAGACCCTGCTCAGAATCATTCCCAAGAGCCTTCCTGCTTTTTTACAACTGGTAAGACCGGGACTATCGCTGATCATAAAGCTTTGGACTGAATCAATGACTGTTTTAAAACCTGGCTAAGCTACTAAGTCCATGTCTCACCCCGTTGCTCTATATCTGTCTTAATTGAATGAGAAGCAACCCACAAACTTGCGGAACCACCTGCTGTCTTCTACCTGTTCTTTGGATAAAACTTAGCAGTCAGTAAAAATGAACTGAATTTAGGAACAGATACATTTCCTGCTGACCATAAGCCAACCTCCATGGAACTTCACAAGGTTGATAGTGTCTGCAAGGACCACCTGCCTGATGCCCCTCTGACCTCTTCAGAGCAGTGAGCCACGTTTTGTCTTTCCCCCAATCTCTGCTAATTTGAATTACCTGGCAGCAGGTATGAGAGCGTGGAACAAGAAGACAGCTGAGCTGCTTTCTGGCATTGAAGTGCATAGAAAACAAGAGCGTGGACGCACGTTAAACAACGGGACTTTCCCACGTGCTCCAGGTGTGCCTATCAGTATTTGCTTCTGACTTTCAGCCAGATGGGAATTAATGGAGGGGTGAGATGTGAGAGTAAGACTCAGAGAAGTATTTGACTCAAAACTCACACTTGAGAAGTTCAATGTCAGAATGCAGACAACTGATTCCAAAAGTCATCTGTCTCAATACAACAAATGGGTGGTTGGAAAGCATTTTGATAGCTGCAAGTGGTAGCATGAGTCTGTGAATCCTAGCACTGAGGCTGAGGCAGGAGGATCGCCGGAGAAAATAAAACCCGGTCTCATAAACAAAAGCACTTTAACCTTTTGGTCTTTGACACCCTTCTGGCTGTGCACATGACTCCAAAATCCTGTTTCTTTTCCTCAGCCTAGGGTGGTCAGGATCTTCATAAAGGATAGAGCAAGAGAGACTACAAACAGCCTAAGGCATGTTCTACTTTTGCAAAAAGGCCCCCGGCACTCCTGACCTGCTGCAGGTAGCCCGCAGAGGGGCCAGGCTCACCTGACAAAGAAGAAATAGGAGTAGTCCTGAACCACCGTGTGGGAGTGACAGGAGAAGTAGCCCAGACCTGTAAGATTGAGCCTGGAGCCGGCGGGCACCTCCAGCATACTGCCCCACGCCTGGTCACACAGCATCTCCACCTCGGCTGAATAGAAGAGCCCTCCCTCTCCATCTTGGTACTGCCAGGGCAGGTAGTTGTAGAGGCCAGGCACCTCAGGGTGCAGCGCCAGCACCTTGGCATACACGATGGTCTCGGCCAGCTCTGCGCGGCAGCCCTCGCTCAGGGGTCGCCACTCCGACGGCAGCTGGCAGGCGCGCGCGGGCGCCGGACGGGCAGCGAGGCAGAGCGCAGCGAGCAGCAGCGGGAGCAGCATGCCAGCGGCTACTCTCTAGCCCGGTCTAGCCCGGGCGCATGGCCCGTCCGGGTGCCGGGGAAGGCGGGGAGCCCGCAGCGCCTGCACGCCCTGGGCGCTCGACTGCGCGAGCTCCGGGGAGCTGGGTGGTGTGGCTAGCTCTGTGGCCAGGATCACCATGCCCCGGCCTTCGCCTCTCCACGCTTAAGAAGGGTCGCAAGGACGCGACGGGACGGGCGGGGACTGGGGCGTGGACGTCGGCGGGGGCGGGGAGTCCGCTCCGCAACCAGGCCTTGCAGGGCTCCCGGAAAAGGGGACAGGCCCCGGGAGCTGGGACTCCCGGGTGGCGACGGGACGTGTGAACTGAGTCTTGACCATTTGACCCAGTCGCTTTGTGGCACACCGCTATGGGCTAGATCAGAGCTTGCCCCGTGTAAAAAGTTGGTCTCTACGCAGGTGTCCCACAGCTCCTGCTCTCAGTTTGCACGATGAGGTACTCGGTGTTAAGTCTTTACGTTTTTTTCCTGCAAGTGATTTAGAATCAAAGTGCATAGAAATCAAATCAGATTTTTGTCAGATCTGATTTTCAACTTTGTATGAAATAATCTCCACCTCTTTCCTCCTATGTCTCCCACCTCTCTTCCTCTCCCACTTTCTCCCTCTTACCTCCCCCTCCTCCCTCCTCCTCTCTATCCTTTTCTCCCCTGGACTCCTTCGCCCTGATCCCATCTTCCTCTCATCCTTCTCTATCACACACACACACACACACACACACACACACACACACACACACACACTGATTTTTCTGTAATAATGGCCTTCAAAGAGTCCCCATAAAGATCTGAAAAGCCATTGTTCCAGGGTTGTTTTTTTAAGTTAACTGATTTATACAGCCCCAGATTCTGAAAGTCCTACACCTGGAAAGCAAATTTATCAGTAAATTCTCTAGTTAGTGGGCAAAATGAAAGAGACAAAAGCCCTCAAAAGTTCTCATTCTCTGTTGCCATTACTATTCTTACTGTAATAAGAATACATCATAATTAATAAAAAATAAATCACAACAGGACTAAGGACATAGCTCGGTTAGAAGAGTACTTTCTGGGCATGCATCATTCCTGGGTTTGACTTCCCAACACCTCATCAACTGGGCATGGAGATTCACACCCAGTAGTCGGGAGGTGGAGGCAGGAAGATCAAGAGTTCAGGGCTCTTGTGGGAGGGGAGTGCAGAGGGAATTTGAATCCAGCATGGGCTACAGAAACTGTCTCAAAAGAACAGAAGAATACCTATTTGTAATACTATATTGATCATATAGTCATTTTATGGATGTTACCCACATATCATTATTATAAAGTACACATTGTATCTAATGAATTTTTAGAACAAATTCATAAGCAAATTACCCTTAAAATGGAAGGCTGAAGCATTTCATTTGGGGGGTTGCAGGTTTGGAAGCAGGAACCTAGCTGAATTGTTCAAGGCACTAGAGAGAAGAGAGTTCCCAAGAAAACCTAGACGAGAATGTACAGAGTGGGAATGGAAAATTAAAAGCTGGGCCTCACCTCTACAAGCCCACAGATCTTCCAGGGAGTCCTGAAACTTTGGTTGGCTGGTTCCTTTTGTGAACGCTTCAGGTGGATGCAGGTTTTGGCCTGCAGCTCTTATAAACAAACCCAATCCATGCAGAAGGGACATAAAAGGAGGGAACCTGGGGGGGGGGGGCTTTGGGAATTTTCAGAAAATAAAAGGGACTCCAGGCATCATTATCCAGTTGATGGACTTGGAGAGCTTCAGATGGCATGAGGGTCACATTAGCTCAGATGCTTGTCAGTGAGCCAATCGGGCTTGCATTTCACAAACCTTGTGGAAGCCCCAAAGTAGAATGAAGTGTAAGAAAGAGGCCCTTCACAGGCCATGGATGTTCACGTGTCAAGTATTCAGCCTAAGACCTCAACGAATTTCCATTTTTGAGTGAGCGAATAAGAGAGAGAGAGAGAGAGAGAGAGAGAGAGAGAGAGAGAGAGAGAGAATCTTGTTATGTAACCTCAAATGCCTGCAGGCAAGAATTTCAAGTGTGTGCCACTATGTCCGGCGAGGCCTCAACAAATACTGCAGGAAAATCTTAGTTATAGTTGAAGTAAATCCAGAGGACAGCAGTGCCAAGTATGTAGATGACAAATGGCTCTCCGCAGTTACCTGCCATGGGAAATACCAGACTTTCCCACAATGAGTGAGGAAGTGACGTCATGCCTAACATCAGAGGCGCTTATCAGTGCAGCACCATTGTCTCACACTGGACATTGAAACTCTCATGGGGTCACCGCACGAACCTGCTCCGTCTGTCATAATGAAATGCCACAGACTGGAGGATTAACCAGTGGTGATTTATTGCTCCTAGTTCTGGGGACTAAAAGTTCAGTATCCAGATGCCAAGGCTGGTGTCTGGTAAGACCTTTGTCCCTGAGGTGTGTGTAAACGGCTATCTTGTATTCTTAGAGCAAGAGGTAGCCTTTTCTTTATGTTCTTCTGTCCTCCCCTTACAAGTTCAGTGGTCCAGGACCCCACCTTTACCAACTCATCTATTCTTATTTGCCCCCATAAAGACCCTATTTCCAAATATAGTCACAGAGGGATGGGACAGAGCTTTGCCATATGAATGGGAGTGAAGAGGGAGACAGGCAGTATAGACGGAACAGTTGTTCAACAGGTGCTCTGCAGGTTTGCTTGAGAAAGAGGGAGAGTGTGACATAATTTATATTCCTGGCGAACAGAGCAAGCATTGTCAGACCAGTGTTAAGAGTGTCTAACTATGAGCTGAGTACTGTTGTACAGAGTTTGCTTATTTTGTCTTAACTCAATTGCCAAACAACATTTCAGAATAGATATTACTATTGTCCTTGTTTTAAAAATCTTTGTGTGTTATGACTGTATACATAGTGTGTGTGTGTGTGTGTGTGTATGGTGTTTTATATGTATGTGTTATGTGTGTACATACATGTGTGTGTGCTATGTGTGTGTTTCTGTGGTGTGTGTGTGTACATGTGTGTCTGTGTGCTATGTATGTGTTTCTGTGGTGTGTGTGGTGGTGTTTGTATGTGGTGTGTGCATGTATGTGGTCTGTGTGTGCATATGAGTGGTTTACGTGTGTGTATGTGTACTTATTCACATGAATATGAGCCTATGTGTTTGACTAAGGAAGCAAACAGATGTCTTCAAGCTTATGTAGCAGGTACTTTATTTACTGAGGCATCTTTTGAGTTCCTTGAGGGGTATTTTATTCTGTGTGACTATGTGTTAATTTACTTTTGAAGTATTAGCATTTGCTTACACATTACTAGAGATCAAACTCAGTCTCAGGTATGGGAGGCAAGGCAAGCACTTTGCCACTAAATACCACCCATAGCCCCCAAGGAACATTTTTTAATAACATGTCATTGAGTGGACAGTGGACAGAGAAGCCGTGAGAGTTGGGCTGGTGTGAGCCAGGCTCTGTAAATCCCAGGATTTTCATCTTCTTCTTTCTGTGTAAGGAGCTATGAGGAGGAGCTAAGGCTTTTGGTGAGAAAATACATCTAGAGAGATAGACAGAGGCACAGAGAGACAGAGACAGAAGACAGAGAGAAACAGACTACAGACAGAAGGTGGAGACAGAGCATGCATGTCTCGATTTTCCCTCTAATCCCTTGTAGTGTTCCCTACTGGCCAAAGCGAACTGATACAATTCACACAGATCACATCCAGAAGTTGGGGAAGGGTGTTGAGAGCCAAGGAAAGCATCTACCATGCTTTTATCACCTCACTGAAAACCTTCAGAACAGAGGCATGACTTCAGCAGACTGTTTTGGAGAAGTTCTTCTTGCAGGAGGATCTTGAGGAAGGATCCGAAAAGCAGGACCTCCAGTGAAACACCGCATGCAAGAGTCCAGACCGCAGACTCCAGAGTCCACGTTCATCACACCATTTATCCTAAACAGGAGGGCACAGATGTGACATCTGAAGACCCTGGGTTCAACAGGATCAACAATGGCAACTTACTATACCCAAGGGGTAGGAGATACCAGGCAGACTCCCAATGTGTCTGTGTTAAGTGTACATGTCAATCTCATTCAAACTTCATAACCATTCTCAAGCCCTCCCTTGTGGTGGCTAGGATTCTAGCGCCCTTCTGTACAAAATGGAAGTGACTACATCAATAATAGGTAGAAAGAAGAGCATAAATGGGAAGCACCCTGCAACTCTAACTTAATTATACAGTACATTCTGCCAAAGATAATTGTGTGTGTACATTTGTGTTAGGGGTGACATTCATATGTGTGCAGGTGCATGTGTGCATGAAGATATGTGGAGGTCAGAGGCCAACCTCGGGTGTCTTTATTTTTTTCAAGACAGAGTTACTCTGTAGCTTCTGGAGTCTGTCCTGCTCTGTAGACCATGTTGGCCTCAAACTCAGAGATCCACTGTTCTCTGCCTCCTGAGTACTGGGATTAAAGGCATGTGCCAGTATGCCTCGGGTGTCATTCTTTGAGGTACAGCCCACTCTGTTCTTTAGATACAGTCTCCCTCTGACCTGAAAGTCACCAAACAGGCTAAGTTGTTTGCAAGGCAAGCACTGTCTTCAGTCCCAAAATTCTTGTAACAAAATAATCATTTGGCCAAGATTTAAATGTATAAAGACTTCATATAAAAATCAAAATTTCTGACTTTTGATAAAAAGGAAAAAAATGTAAATAAGATTCATATTACCACATGATAATGGGTGATTTTGTGTGTCAACTTGTCATAATCCAGAGTCATCAGAGGAAGGAGCCTCAGCTAAGAAAATGCCTCCTTGAAATCCAGCTGTAAGGCATTTTTTCATTTAGTGATCAATGGGGGAGGACCCAGGCCATAATGGGTAGTGTCATCCCTGGGCTGCTGGTCCTGGGTTCTATAAGAAAGCAAGCTGAGCAAGCCACAGGAAGTAAGACAGTGAGCAGCACCCCTCCATGGCTTCTGCATCAGCTCCTGCCTCCTGGATCCTGCCCTGTTTGAGTTCCTGTCCTGACTTCCTT